GGGCTACAGGAAGACCCTGTCTCAAAAAGACCAAAAAAAGACACCTTCCCCCTGAAACGAAAAGGGAAGTAAAAAAGTTGAGGATATGGATGTGCCTCAGTTGGTAGAGCGCTTGCTTAACATACAGGAAGCCTTAGTTCCTAGATGCCCACTTTATAAACCAGGTGGTGGTGCACATCTGTAATCCCAGCACTGAGGAGAGGGAAGCAGGATGATCAGAAGTTCAAGGTCATCCTTGGCCACATAGTAAGGTATAGGCCAGCCTGGGCTACAAGGAGACTCTGAAAAAAATGTTGGGTAGAGTGCCACTCAGGATCCCCTGAACGCCAGAGATGACTCACTATCGCCCCCTAGTGTTTCAAAAGGAATAAACAGTTCCTAGAATGAGGCCAAGGTGTGAGAAAATGACCATCCATCTGCAATGGCTGAACATGCCAGGGCCCCTTGGATCATTCCAGCAGAGAGAGACTAGCCCAGTCCTTCTAGAACTTACAGGAAGGAGTAAAGGTGCTGGGGACAGAAGGCAACCTGTCAGCTATGGCAGATCTTAGCACCAGACTTGCCCACCAGGTGGCGCGCACACACACACACACACACACACACACACACACACACACACACACACACACGGGGCTTCTTCAGTGCGTGGATGTACAGGAATGATAAAGCTCCCAGACTCCATCCACCTTTGAAGTGTGGGACTGGTATTTATGCCCATTAACGATAACAACAATCTTGTTTTTTTTTTTTTTTTTTTTTTTTTGAGACAGGGTCTCCCTATAGCTCCAGCTGGCCTGGAACTCACTATGTAGACCAGGTTGTCCAGGGATCCACCTGCCTCTGCCTCCTGAGTGCTGGGATTAAAGGTGCGCAGTGCCCGGCAGTAGTATTTCTTTAGCACTTAATGATATTCGAGGCATTAAGGCAGTCAGCCTGTTTTATTTAGTCTTTTTTTTTTGGAGCTGAGGACCAAACCCAGGGCCTTGTGCTTGCTAGGCAAGTGCTCTACCACTGAGCTAAATCCCCAAGCCCATTCAGCCCGTTTTAATGCAATTCCATAACCCACTCCCTCCCCAAGACAGGGTCTCATGTAGGCCAGGCTGGCCTGAAACTCACTGTGTAGCTGAGGATGATTTTGAGCTTCTCATCCTCCAGCCTCCACCTCTTGAGTGCTGGTATTTCAGACCACACCCAGATTTAGTGTGCAGGGAGTTGAACCCAGAGCTTTGGGCATACTGGGCAAACATGAAGGTAGCACCAACTAAGCTACATCCCCAGCCCCATCTGCTGTCATTGTGCACCTTTTTTTTTTCACAGGAAACTGGCTCAGGGAGGATACATGAATTTCCCAAGAGTCACGCAGCCCTGGAATCTGGACCCAAACAATCACTTGACTCAAGCCTCAGTGAGTCTTGGATGGGTGACCCCCACTTTCTGCTCCTGCAAATTGATACGGGGGGGGGAGTTGTGGGGAGTAAGGACCAGAAGGCAGCCAGGGTGCATCTAACAGGGTCTTGAAGTAGTCAGCATACCCTCCCCCTGTGGCACTCATGGTTAAGCAAGAGTGAGCCAGAACTTTGTTTAATCTTTGCTAGGTTTGCTTGGTGGGGTGGGGAGAACAGGGCAGTGCCAGGTGCCATTCCAAGGAGCTCCCTATAGCATTTTGTTTTTAAAGTTTTTATTATTTTTATTTTATGTGTATGAGTGTATTTATTGCCTGCAGGTATGTAAGTGCACCTGTGTCCTGCAATGCCTGTGGAGGTCAGAAGAGGGCATTGGATCCCTTGAAATTGGAGTTACAGATGGTTGTTATCCACTGTGTGGGTGCTGGGAATCAAACCTGGGTCCTCTGCAAGAGCAGGCAGTGCTCTTAACCCGAGCCATCTCTCTCGCCCCAGCCCTTCCTTTTTTTTTTTCTTTTTTTTTTTTTTTTTTGACAATGCTAAGAAAATGTGATTTTCAGCTGTTTGTGTACACTGAGGTCCCCAAGAGAGGCCAGGGTCAGAAAGAGAAAGAGGAGTTAGGACAGATGGGAGGAGTGAGCCCAGGAAACTCCCTTCACTTCCAACTACTATTTCCACATCTCTCTTGACCCCTCTACTTTTTCCTTCCTCAGTCAAGGCCTGGGAGCCAAGAATGTTTCCATGGGTCTCTGTCTCTGGATAGGACAGGCAGGCTGTGTCCTGTGTGAGTTCTGTTTCCCCATTTGTGAATTCTGTCACATTTCTTTTTTTGTCACAGTGAGAGGAAGCGGAAATGGTTCAGATGAAAGCTAATTTGGAGAGCTTGGGGATAGAGCTCAGAGGTAGAGCACCTGCCTAGAATCCCCCAGTGAGGTGGGGGCATAGCTCAGTGGTAGAGCTCCCACCTAGAACACAGTGAGGGACTGGGGGCATGGCTCAGCCATAGGGCACTTTCTTAGCATGCACAAGGCCTTGGGTGCGGCGATCAGAAGAAGGTGTCAGATCCCCTGGAACTGGAGTTGTGAATAGTTGTTAGCCACCATGTGGGTGCTTGGAACTGAACCCGGGTTATCTAACAAGAGCAGTCAGTGCTCTTAACTGCTGATCCATCTCTTCAACCCAAGCTCGTGGTCTTTTGAAAAGCAGGGTGGTTTAGGTCATGGGGAAAGGTGATTGGATGTGTTCAGAGGTTTCCATATTCATGTCCATCTTCAGAGCTTGCTATTTAGAAATGGGCAACATTAGTGTGATCAGAGCTGAATATTCTGCCATTTATTATTTATATATATATTTATTTATTTGTATGTAGTGTGTCATGTGGCCCAGCCTGGCATCACACCCATTATATGGGCAGCCTTGAGCTCTGGGTGTCTTGATACAGCCTCCTGGAGCTGAGGGTGCATGCATTTATCACCATTCCAGACATCACTATTCCCTTTGATGTAAGAGAAATCACCCATCACACTCCTGGTCAGGCCCAAGTGAGCATCACTGGTTTCAGTCAACTTGGGAAAGAGCCTGTCCCTGTCCCTCAAACAGCTCAAATGACCCAGGGCACTCAGGAGTGCTGCCACAATCTCTTACTGTCTCCAGGGAAGGATGGCCCTTTGCCCTGCCACCCTACCACTAGCCAGCAGCCTGCCTGGATTGCAGCATTCACTGCATTCACAGTGACCACCAGGAGGCGCTCCAAGCCCGCTGGTCTGAATTAGGAGTAATTTTGCTTCTCCACCCGCTAGATGCTCTGGCTTTGTTCAGCATCTATACAGTTCCAAAGCTCAGCCCGGCCCCTTTCCACATCCGGCTGAATTTGGGAACTGGCCTGGCAGAAATCCCTTAGGAGATTGGGAACGTGGCTCGGTTGGAAGAGTGCTTGCCTAGCATGCACGAAGCTCTGGGTTCGATCCCCTGCACCCCATAAACAAGGCATAGTGACATACCCTTGTAATCTCAGCACTTGGTTAAGGCAAGAGGATTAAAAGTTCAAGGTCATCCTCAGTTACATAGTGAGTTCCGGGCTAGCCAAGGCTACATGAGACCTTGTTGAAAAAAGAAAAAAAAAAAAAAAAAAAAAAAAAAAAACTCCAAAACTCAGATTAACAACATAAAAAACAATATTGTTTACCCTGTTACAGTCTACTGCTGTCCAAGGTCTCCTCATCTGAGTCCTCTCTAGATGTTTCCGCTGGGGATGGTAGGGAGGAAAAGGTCATGTCTACTCAAGGGAGGGACAAGCTGAAGGCCAGAAGGGCTCAGGAAGACCGTAAAAATAATGCCCAGGAAGAGGGTTTTAGTAAAGTGTCCCAATACTGTCTGTGTCTACTGGGTTGTTGTGATGGGGCATGTGTCTGCACAGGTGTCTAGGCCTGTGTGCAAATATGGCTGTTGATGTCAACACCAACCTGGTTCACATAGTGAGTTCTAGGCCAGCTGGGGCTACAGGGAGACTGTCTCAAAAAGACCAAAAAAAAGTTGTTAAATTGGATGTTAACATTTGTAAGTGGTGGAGAAGTGTGGCTGAGGATGGAGGATTCCCAGGTATGTGTACAAGCCTTGTGGGTATGTGAGCCAGATGAACACTGTATATGTCTGTGTCCATGAATCTATATACATGTTTGAGGGGCTGATGTCTGTGGGAGCCTGTGTTGGTTAGACTCATGTGTTTGTATTTCATGTCCTGGTTCTCTCTCTCTCTCTCTCTCTCTCTCTCTCTCTCTCTCTCCTCTCCCCCCTGTATAGATGCATGTCAGCAAGGTGTGACCCAGAATTACCAAGTACAGCTGTCTGTGGAGTCCACAATTCCATGTCTAATCTGTCTTGCCTCTGTTGTGAGGGTTCACACCCTTTCCCTTCCTCAGGACTCTGATATCACCCCCAAAACTGAGCTCAGGCCCTGCAGAGATGCTGAACAGTCTCACTCTGTGGTTATTGTGTACACAGGGTACCCGCTCCCTCCATTTTCTGCCTAAGTGGCTCTGTCCATTAATGCTTTCCTTTTACCTTTAGAACACTGTGGACAAAACCACTGTTTTCCCATGTGGGCAACAGCAAAGGACAGCTCCCTGAACCTGGTCACTTCTGATACTTCCCCCACCCCCACCAAGCCTACTCCTCCAGGCGGGATTCATATTTTGTGTTTTCTTCAGAGTCTCATAGGGATCTCCTTCTGGCTAGGCTGTGTTGAGTGAATCAGCCTTATGACCAACAGCAAAAGGGACTCTAGCAAGCCATGCAGGACACCTGCAGTACAAGATGCAGCCACTTCCTTTTAGAACACAGAAGGGAAAGAAAAGAAAGGTGGGTATACAGGGGACTGAGACATGGCTCAGTGGTAGATCCCCTGCCTAGAATCCCCCAGTCAGAGGCTGGGGGCGTGGCTCGGTGGTAGAGCACCTGCCTAGAGTCCCCCAGTGAGGGGCTGGGGGCGTGGCTCGGTGGTAGAGCACCTGCCTAGAGTCCCCCAGTGAGGGTCTGGGGGCGTGGCTCGGTGGTAGAGCACCTGCCTAGAATCCCCCAGTGAGGGACTGGGGGCGTGGCTTGGTGGTAGAGCACCTGCCTAGAATCCCCCAGTGAGGGGCTGGGGGCATGGCTCGGTGGTAGAGTGCCTGTCCAGCAATGGGAGTTCCTGTGTTCTTTCCCCAGCACAGCAAAAAAAGGAGGTGCACAAGGGCTGCTGGGATGTAATTTTTGGTCACAAGCGTTCTCCCCCATCAATATCCTTTTCTCCTGCTGACCTTTACAGAGGCTAGGTGTGCACCTTAATTCATTTTTCGCTGTTAGAGTCATCAGGCACTATAGTGAGACACTCTTCACCGTCCTTGACGACCCAGTCTTTTCATGATTATAAGAACCAGTTGTGGAGCTTGCTGCCAAGCCTGAAGACTGAGTTCAAGGCTGGGCACAGTGGTGCACACGTGTAATCCCAGCACTCAGGAGGCAGAGGCAGAAGGATCATGGGTCTGAGGCCTGCCTGGGTTATGCATGGGGAACCTGTTTGGAAAAAGCAAACAGCACAAAAACTCTACACATTCAAGGATCATGCATAACATCAACAGTCCAAGAATTCACATTTCCCAGGTGGCTTTCTGTAGTTTATCCCCAAGATCAAGGTAGTATGTGAACCCCACAGTCCGGCCCTATACACTCCAAAACCTTCAGAGCTCAGCATTCCAGGAATCAAGGGTAACGTGATAGCTTAAGTGTGGGGTACTAGTTCATGTCAACCCCCCCCCCAACACTGTCTATTGCCAACTCCGAAACCAAGAAATTGCCTCATAAACATTTTTATTTCCATATCAGCCTGAGCCCTCTTTTCAAGTGCAAAGGGGCTACCAATCAGTTACTGTGTAGCAGAGGAAAAAACAATGGACCTGACCCTTGCTCTGCCTGTTTCCCACTGCCAAGCTGAGCACTTAAAAGATACATCTGCCGGGCGTGGTGGTGCACTCCTTTAATCCCAGCACTTCGGAGGCAGAGGCAGGCAGGTCTCTGTGAGTTCAAGGCCAGCCTGGCCTACATAGTGAGTTCCAGGACAGCTGGAGCTACAGGGAGACCCTGTCTCAAAAAAGACCAAAAAAATTTTTTAAAAAAAAGATATATCTGAGGGAGTTCAACCCACCAGCCAGAAAAGCCAGCTCCAGCAGCCTCTTACATTACATTCTTTGGGATGCTATAGTCAGTATGAAAAAAAAGGTGGAGGGGGGAGGAGGAGGAAGATGATCTATATATAACATTAAAAACAAGCTCTGGCCATAACCACCCTGAATGTGTCTAATCTCATTAGATTAAAAATAAAAAAATCAAGAGGGTGGCTGAGTCCAGACGTGGTGACTCAAACCTGTAATCCTAGCACTCTGGAGACTGAGGCAGGATTGCTGTGAGTTTGAGGCCAGCCTGGGTTAGATATGGAGTACCAGAGCTGCCAAGCAAGACCGTGTCTCAAGAAGGAAGGAAGGAGGGAGGGGGAGAAGGGAGGGACAGAAGGAAAAAAAGAAGGTCTTTGCGTTAGAGATGTGGGAGGTGCTGCCTGCCTGTCTCTGAAGTCTCCATTTTTAAACATGGAGGTAAAAGTCTGCAAGGGAGTGAGGCGTCCTAGCATGGGGCAGGTGGCCCCTGGCACTAGGCCTCCCTTCACACCTGTTCCTCTCTCTCTCCCTGTTCTGCTTCTAGTCTAGCCTCAGCCATCAGCACCCTGAGGCTCCGGGCCTCACCTGCCCTGGGGACTCTTTTGGGTAGGGTTGGCAACCGGGGAGTGTGCCAGAAGGCTCTCCTGCGCTTTCGAAACCATGAGAATCGACCAGGGGTCTGGAACCTCACTGTCTTTACCTGTTTCTGGGCCCTAGCTCCAGGGGCTGACCCTGGGGCACCAGAGCCAGCTGAGGCTTCTTGGAGAGCCTGGGATCCAGCCCCCTCCCTCTGGTCAGCTGGGGCTTCCACCAACAGTAGAAGATTACCAACAGTTTCTGCCCTGTTATCACCTGAGACTTCCACCCTCTGATTATCTGTAGCTTCTGCCCTCTGGGCAGGTAGAGCCTCTGCCCTCTGATTAGCTGCAGCCTCTATCCCATGGTCAGCTGGGCCCTCTACTGTTGGATTATCTGCAGCCTCAGCCTCAGGGTCAGCAAGGGCCTCTGCCCTGGGATTAGCCGAAACCTCTGCCCTGGGATTAGCTGCAGCCTCTGCCCCACGGTCAGCAGGGGCTTCTGCCCTTGGATTGGCTGCAGCCTCTGCCTCTTGGACAGGTGGGACGTCTACCCCCTGGTTCTCTGCAGCTTCTGCGGGCTCCTCTGCTGGCACACCAGCCCCTTGAGCTGGGGGTGGCACCTGCCCCTTCCTGTGTCCTCTCAAGGAGGTCCACTTTATCTTGGACCTCCACCATGGGGCATAGGGCTCACCAGCACTCCCATCCCCAGTGTGTCCAGCTCTATCACCCCGGGTGGTGTGGCTGTGCCCCAAAGCCCCACCTCTCTCAGCTGCAGTGGAGGCCTGCTGGGTTTCGCCAACCTCAGAGCTTGATCTGGGTGCCCAGCCCTTCACCCTCTGCTTAAACTTCCCCCAGGACACCTGGCTGACATACTCCCGCCATCTGTCGGCCTTGGACGGCTGGGGTCCCAGGTTATCCTCAAACATGGGCACTGGCAGATTGACCCGGCGTCGTGGAGGAGGTGCACTGGGCTTCTTCTCCCCACGGTGAAGGAAGGCTTCAACCAGCTCCTGATCATCCTCACTCTCCACGTCGCTGCCCAGGAATTTGCTGCCCAAGTAACTGACCGGCATTTTGCGCACCTTCCTGGCCCCCTGGGAGCGCCTGTTGTCCTTGACTCTGGAGGTCTCAAAGTCGCTCAATTCACTGTCGCTGGCGTTGCTGCTGTCGTATGTGCCTACGACCAGCCGAAGTGGAGGAGTGACCATCTGCGGAACTCTCCTCTTCACTTGAGGCTCCTTGGGTTTTTTGGGGGGCTGGGGTGGGTGCGGAGTACTCTTCTCGATAATGCGGGCCACATCTTCCAGGGTGCGGCCCTCTTCCTCCAGAAACTGGATCAGTCGCTCCCGAAACTCAGCTTCCTTGGTGGCGGGCTTCGAGATGACTCTCCACACGCCCCCGGCCAGCCTGACCTCGCGGGGGATGAGCAGATAGTCTACGTCCTCCCCAATCTGCAGCATCCCGACCGTGGAGTCCTCCTCTCTGCGGAACACCTTGCCGATCTTCTTAAAGGTGCCCACAGGCCTTAAGGCCTCCACCAGCACGTCCAGGTCTACATCCTTGCACACGTCGGGCACGCTCCAGAGGATCAGGCAATCTGGGGACGGCAGGAAGCCCCAGGGGAACCAGCCCCCCACGTGGCTTTTCTCGAGGGTCTTTAAGATCTCCAGGATGGAGTCTCGGGTCGGGGGCAAGGAGCCCAAACAAACGACTCTTAGCTTCCAATCTGAGGGGTCGGTGGAGAGTGTCACCTCCCCAAGTCAGATGGGTGGACTCCCTTCAATTCCTCCCCTGGCAACAGGTCCAAATTGGCCTCCCCACCCGGATTCGTGGGAAACAGTATTCGGGATCCTTACGTGAGCTGGGATGCGCTCAGTCCCGAAGCTCAAAACTCCGTCCAAATTGGAAAAGGTGATGTCCCGGCTCCAAGCTGGGGACGCATGGGCTTCGTGGGACCTTCTCCCTGGGCCCAGGCACCCCAGACGCAACTGGAAGTTAGTGAGAGAACTTTGCAGACAAAGAAGACTCAGGGTGGCTGTTCAATATGGCCGAGGAGCTTAAAGGCCTCCGCCCAGCCCCGAGGAGGGTCTCCCGCCCCCAGGCAGGCTGCCACCGCTGGGTGATGACCTTGCGGTGCCTCCCGCCTCCGGCCGCTTGCGCGCGCGCAGCAACTACGATGGAGCGTGGGGCGCCGGCAGGAAGTTGCTGGGCGCCCTGCCCCTGTCGGGATGAGGCCCACCTTCTCCATCTCATCTTACATTCCCGGCCCTGGGAAGACTGGCAGCGGGGCTGTCCACTCCCTTTGGGGCGGCCTCCCTCTCCTCCCCACAGAGGTGTGGCCGCTTCCCCGGGCCTCGCTGGGGCTCTGGGCTTCCCAACTCTGCAGGCAAACAAAACCCACGTCAGCATCTTTCACCATCCTCTATGTGCAAGTTCAAGATGGGGGTATGCCAAGGGCTCAGAGCTTTGGAAGGCCGTTGCAATACCTAGTACCATTTAAAGTCGCCGGGATGGAATAGAGGGATGGATCAGGGCCTAAGAGCACTTGAGGCCCTTCCAGAGGACCCAAGTTCGGTACCCAGCATCCACATCAGGCGTCTCACAATTGCCTGTAACTCCAGCTCCAAGAGATACTCAAGGTCTTCTTCCGGCCTCTACCGGCACCTGCATGGACACACACACACACATACACACATTCGCCCCGGCACACATGCACATACTTTAAGCCTTTGAGATCACGGGGAGGGTGTGTTACCTTCATTTTTTAATTGACCGTGAACTTTCTGCTCTGCCTCTGGGAACACAAGCATGAGTCACCAAAACCAGGATCAAGGATAATGTTTAAACAACAACAGCAGCAAACATTCAGGTAAACAAATGTCTTTAATACCAATATAAAAATAAAAGCATGCCCGGCATGGTGATGCCTGCCTTTAATCCCAGCACTTGGGAGACAGAGGTAGGTGGATCTATGTGAGTTCAAGGCCATCCTGGTCTGCACAGAGTTTCAGGCCAGCCAAGGCTACAGGAGACCTTGACTAAAACTTTAAATATGGGCCAGTTGTGGTGGTGCTCACTTTTTATCTCATCACTGGGATGAGGCCAGTCTGGTCTACATAGTGAGTTCCAGACCAGCTGGAGCTACAGGGAGACACTGTCTCAATAAGACCAAAAAAAAAGTTTTAAAAGATACTGGGTGATAGGTAGATAGATAGATAGATAGATAGATAGATAGATAGATAATAGATAGATAAAGATATATAATTTAAAATAAAGGTGCTAGGGCCTGGAGTTAAGACCACTGGCTGTTCTTACAAAGGACCCAGGTTCAGTTCCCAGCACCCACATGACTGCTAACAATCATCAATAACACCAGTTCCAGGGGATCCGACGCCCCTTTCTGACCACCATGGGCATTGTATGACATGGGTGCACTTACATACATGCAGGCAATACACTCATACACATAAAATAAAAATAATAAATAAAATATTAAAAAAAAATAGGGGCTGGAGAGATGGCTCAGCAGTTAAGAACACTGGCTGTTCTTGCAGAAGACCAGGGTTTGAATCCCAGCACCCACATAGCAACTAACAACTGTCCGTAACTCCAGTCCCAGGGAATCCGCCAGCCTCTTCTGTCCTCTTTGAGCATTGCACAACATGGGTGCACTCACCTACATGCAGGCAATACATGCATACACATAAAATAAAAATAATATTTTTTTAAAAAGGGGGCTGGAGAGATGGTTCAGCAGTTAAGAGAATTTGCTGCTCTTTCAGAGGACTAGAATTCAGTTCCCAGCACCCACATAGTGGCTTAACAGCTATCTGTAACTTCAGTTCCAGGGGATCTGATGCCCCTTCTGGTCTCTGTAGGCATTGCATACACGAATGCACTTACATACATGCCTAAAACACTCATACATTTTTTTTTTTAATTTTAAAAATAAATAAAAATAAAAATGTGTGCCAGTCATGGGAGTGCATGCTTGTAATCCAAGAATTGGGAGAAATCATCCTCAGCTACCAAGCCTGTTCAAGACCAGCCTGAGCTACATGAGACCCTATCTTGATTAAAAAAAAAAAAAAAAAACCATAAACTTGAACATGGTTTTTTTTTTTTTTTTTGGTCTTTTTGAGACAGGGTCTCCCTGTAGCCCCAGCTGGTCTGGAACTCACTGTGTAGACCAGGCTGGCCTTGAACTCACAGAGATCCGCCTGCTTCTGCCTCCTGAGTGCTGGGACTAAAGGCCTGTGAACATGTGTAATTTTACCTGACTCTAGAAGGAACCTTTGAGGCAGATGATTATCAAAGAGGGAAGGGAGGGGGAAGGAGAGAAAAAGATGCTGGGGCAGAGGGAGGTTGAGAGCTCAGCCAGAACTTTGCACATTGCAATCGTTTTTTTCAGAGCTGCTGAGCCCTTCCCCTGAACTTCAGTGAACTTTCCTCCTCCTCACCGACCCCATCCAAACCATGCTCATCCTCAATGGCCTCAATCCGTTGGTCTTGAATGCTTTCTACCTCAGCAAACCTTTGGTCTCCAAGGCAACCAAGGATGCAGAGGGACCCTGGCTGAGCCTTTGGGAAGATGCTGGGATGGCACAGAAGCAGCCCCTCCTTCAGCCTCCTTAAACCTCCCCATAGAATGGTGGTTTGAAGAGACCAGAAGAAAAAAAAAAAATCAAAGGACACCCAGTTTAACAGATGATGATTTAACGATTCCAGATCTTTAGGTCCCAACATCAGAGGGGAAGGGGGTGGGGGGTGAGGGGGATAAAGAATCCCAGCTTGGTGATGAAGAGGTGGCTCAGCAGCAAAGATCAGAGTTCAAGTCCTAGAACCCATACCAGGCAGTGCACAACCACTTGTAACTCCAGCTCCAGATCTGTCTGCCTTCTTCTGGCCTCCATTGGCACCTGCACTCATACATGCCCACAGGCACACATACACATACTTTTTTATTCCCTAACACCCTACTGCCCACCTAAAACAGATCCTAAAAATTTGCTCCTTGGGTTGGGTGTGGTGACAGTGGCACACACCTTTAATCCCAGCACTTGGGAGGCAGAGGCAGGCAGATTTCTGTAAATTCGAGGCCAGCCTGGTCTGCATAGCGAGTTCCAGGTCAGCTGTAAGTTCCAGTCCAGAGCTGTAAGTACTTTCAACCACTGAGCCATCTCTCTAGCCCTTATTCTTTTTGGATTTATTATTTATAGTTTTATGTATATGAGTGTTTTGTCTGAGTGTATAAAGTGTATGCATGTCATACAGTGCCCTCAGAGACCATAAGAGGGCGTTGGATCCCCTGGAACTGGAGTTGTTACAGATGATTGTTAGCTGTATGTGGATGCTGGGAACTGAAATCCCAGGTTCTCTCCAAAAGTAGCCAATGCTCTTCACCTCTGAGGCATCATTCTCATAAATCTAATTTTATTTTGTTATTATTTTATTTTATTATTTTTATTTTATGTGTATGGGTGTTTTGCCTGCACCACATGCATGCATTGCCCATCAGAGGCCAGAGGGAGTATCAGATCCCCTGGAACTGGAGTTTTGGACAGTTGTTAGCTGCCATGTAGGTGCTGAGAATTGAACCTGGTCTTCTGGAAGAACAGCAAGTGTTCTTAACCACTGAGCCATCTCTCCAGCCCCATAAACACAATTTTAAAATAAAAAGAAATTAAAAAAAAAGAAATCTCCAATCTTAAACTGGGCCTAGTGGCTCATCCCTGTAATCGGACTTCTCCAAAGACTAAGATAGGAAGATCAAAAGTTCAGACATCCAGTTTTTAACTGTAATTCTCAATAAAGAGAATTATCTTAGAGAGGAAACTCCTGGATGTTCAATATTCTTATAAAAATTGCCAGCCCCTGAGCAGTTCTGCTGCCATTTTTAAATCACCCAGATTTATGACCTCCCTCCCTAGGGAAGAAACCATAACATCTCTCTAACTTTGTACTCACTTAAAAGAAATAAAAATTCAGGAAAGAATGAAGACAACAGATCATGCCCCCAAATACTTCTATAGTACTATACCACACTGCCATTTAAAAATACTATTAAGAGCTGGGGGTGTGGCTCAGTGGCAGAGCACCTGCCTAGAATCCCCCAGTGAGGGGCTTGGAGTGTGGCTTAATGGTAGAGCACCTGCCTAGAATCCCCCCGGTGAGTGCTTGGAAATTTGGCTCAGTGTTAGAGTGGCGGACTAGCAGCGGCAAGGTCCTGGGTTCCATCCCTAGTACCAATAATAATAATAACATCAAAAGCTGGTATCAGTTTTCAAAGCCTGCCAGAGCATTGTGGTGCTGTACTTTGCAGATGGAGGAAACCGAAGGAAATAATAATTCACCCTTATGTCCTGAGGACGATTGAGCTTATGAAGGTCAGAAACAGAGGGCCTCACTGTCCTTCACTTCTGTCTGCCTCAAGGCAGAACATAAATCCTGGGCCACTGGCGACAGGTCTAATCAGCTCAGAGTGGAGTCAGCCAACAGAATCCTGTGTTTTTATATTTCGAAGCCCTCATCCCCACCCCCACCTGTCTGCTTTGTGGTGCCTGCCTTTGTCTTGTCTTGCTCTAGACTGATTGCACCTGGGGCCCGGGGTGTAGATGGTGGCAGAGCTCTTGCCTGGCATCTTGAGGCAGACCCTGGGCTCTGTCTATGGCACTGCAAGCAACAACAACAAAGACTGGTGGCTCTTTGAAAAGTGTGGGGTTGATGGCACACACACCTTTAATCCCAGCACTCAGGAGGCAGAGGCAGGCAGATCTCAATGAGCTCAAGGCCAGCCTGGTCTACAAGGAGACCCTGTCTCAGAAAACAAGTTTGGGCTGGCAAAATGACTCAGCAGGGAAAGGTGCTCGCCAACAAGTCTGACAGCCTGAGTTGGATGGGTCCCCTGGGACCCACAGAATGTAAAGAGAGAAATGATCCCCTAAAATTGTCCTTTGAACTCCACACGTGTCCCACAGCATATTTGTGTGAGCACATACACACAAATAAGTGTAATCATTTAAAAACAAACAAAAAACAAACAATGGTGCCAGAAAGATGGCTCAGGAGTAAAGTGCTCTAGCTGCTTGCAGAAGACTTGGGTTTCGTTCCCAGCACCCACATGGCAGCTAACAACAGTTCATGACTCACTCCAGTTCCAGGGGATCCAATGCCCTCTTCTGACCTCTGAGGACATTGCACAGCATGGGTGCACTTACATA